CACTACAATTTTTTTTAACAGTATATCACTGATCCTAAAACAGTTTTACTTCAAACTATGAGAGTGCTGCTCTTCTGAGGAATCAGCCCATTATAATTCTATCCTCCTCAGAGTGGTTTTTGAGGTCTAGTCTGGGAGAAAACAAATGTTAATTAAAGTCCTTCATGAAGGTTTCATTTCTCCAGCGAGCACACAAACAGCCAGAGGACATCATCTCAGAGCAGGTGACAGCAGGATCTCTCATAATCCTCATAACTCATGTCATTAGCGCAGCTACATTTTCCCGCTTTAAATAAGAGCTTGCTAGCAGCTACAGGGACCAGGCGGCTATCACGCTCTGCCTTCAGCGCTATAAAATGTGAATTACATATAGCAGACGACGCTGTCTTGAAGGCATAGGTGCTTAAAACTTTGAAAAACACTTTATCTGTGGCAGTTTGTGTGTTTTGCTGAATAATTTAGCGTTAGCGGGCAGCATCGCTAAAGGTCTAAAAGCCCGCTGGCCTCCTTTCCTTCAAATGTAATGCTATTCCAGTTTACAGTATTAATAGCGGCGTGCCTTTGCCTTCTAGATCCCAGCTTTCTTCTGAATAAGTGATTCTGTGTCTCACTGACAACCTGTTTAGATAAAAGCAGAAAGTGCTGCACACATCACACAGTTCAAGAGACAGACAGAAAGATGCACTTGATCTGGATCTCTCATCCTGAGGTCTAAAGCCTAAAGCACGCTTCAACCTCGCTTTCTTCTTCTCCGTTTCGCTGGCGTCTCGCGTAGAAAGCAAAGTGACAGTGCAATAAAAGCACATTCTCCTTCTGAACATCACAGCGGTTTCGTGTCAGGCCGAGATGCTAATGTTTTCTGTAGTTTGGAAGTTTGTGGCGTGCCCGTCGTGTGCTGCTATCTTAAAATGATTTAAATAATTCACGCCGGCTAAAAAAATTATGCAGTGGATTATAATTACGCACTGGAGCCAACACTGTATCATATATTTAAAGCTTTCAATGAAGAAGAAAAAGATCAGCTTTTGCATATGATGAACATTTAAAAACGTGTTTGATATGAGCCATTATATTAATGGATTTTGAGTATAAGTATTAATTTTAATGGATTTTGTTCTTAATGCTCTAAAGAGTTGGCAACAGTACATGTCAGACTTATCAGGATTTTATGCATTTTTTTTAATTCAACACATGCAGGGACCTTAACGATTTGTTGATATGATTTTTTTATTATATTAATTATTTTAGAATTGTTATTAAGTTTTTATAATACTTACTCTCATATTAACACATTTTTTAAAACTTTGTATTTTAGAATTTATTTGAATGTTTTGCCACATTGACTTCCAGTTTAAAGGGGTCATATGATGCGATTTCAATTTTTCCTTTCTCTTTGGAGTGTTACAAGCTCTTGGTGCATAAATAAGATCTGTAAAGTTGCAAAGACTAAAGTTTCAAATCCAAAGAGATATTCTTTATAAAAGTTAAGAGTCAACCCCGGCTACCTAAAACGGCTCGCTCTAACATGCCCCCACATGTCTACATCACTATGTGGGAAGATTTGCATAACGCCACCCAAATGTTCACGCAAAGAAAGAAGGCGTAACTTTTATTCTCGCTGTAGTATTGTTGTTGCCGCCGCCATGTTGTGAAGGCGCTCTGTGTTTCGTTGTGAAAGCGAAACTACTTTGTTTGGTCTTCCAAAAGAGGACGATATCCGCTTCGTCATGCCTGGAGCTGATCCGTGCTGGTCGCTGAGGAAATACATCAACTTTGCGCTGTGGATCGCCGGATCGGCTTTCACCGTGGACGAAGCGGAGTCCAGCCCAGGGTCGTCACATGTGGTTGCCGCAAGCCTGCCCGCCACACCGTTCTCAAGCCTCACTCTAGTTTCGTTGTGAAAGTGAAAACACTTTGTTTGGCCTTCCAAAAGAGGACACGACTAGAAATCATGCACTGGATAGCTGGCCAATCAGAGCACACCTCGTTTTTCAGACCAATGAGCTTTGTAAAAATTGACGCGTTTCAGAAAGGCAGGGCATAGAGGAGAAACAATAATGTACAGTATGTGGAAAATAATGTGTTTTTTAACCTTAAACCACATAAACACATTTCATTACACCAAATAATGTTATTTTTAGCAACATCATATGACCCCTTTAAGTGAATGAGTTTTCTATAGTAATCGAGAGCATGTCACAGATTGAACCTGAAAGATTTCTTTAACCAAACTAACACTCATTCAAATTAATGTGCACACCTATGGAGCTACAGGACATTTTACTATGATGACTGAAATATAATTGCGCTGTCAACAGTTATTATTCATAATTTAACTATTATCTTCTCTAGGTGACTCACACAGTTCCCAGCATCCAACCCAGAAAACTGGTTTTACAGTTAAATAAACACATGGTGTGAGTTCAGTTAGTGGCATTTCAACTCCACCTAAATATATGAATTATCATCTTAAGATAATATAAATAAAATGCAAGAATTTATGTGGAATAACTTCCTTTCAAATCTTTTATTTTTATTTCTATATTTTGTTTACATTTTATTTAAATTTTTTGTCATTTTATTATTATTATTATTATTTAAATGTGTCTGTCTTTTTTATTTTAATTTCAGTTGTAGTTATTTAAGTACATCAAGTTAAACTAAATTAAAATGATAAATGTTGCATTGGCAACCATCTGAAAATAAGTTTCAGCTGAATTTTATTTCAGTTAACATTTATTTCAAGTAACAAAAATCTAAAGATTTAAAAAAACAAAAATAAGAATCGTGCCAAATATATGCACACGCATGAATGATATTTCAGACATTTTCAGTAAATAATGATTATTCAGTAATTTCATTCTCTTCCATCACACAAATCTATCATTTCAGTTTTTCAGAAGACATAAGATATAGCACATGGCTGGGGAAAAAAACAAACTTTTATGATGTCTATATGTGACCCTGGACCACAAAACCAGTCATAAGTAGCACAGGTATATTTGTAGCGATAGCCAACAATACATTGTATGGGTCAAAATGATAAAATTTTCTTTTATGCCAAAAATCATTAGGATATTAAGTAAAGATCATGCTCCATGAATATATTTTGTAAATTTCCTACCGTAAATATATCAAAACTTAATTTTTGGTTAGTAATATGCATTGCTAAGAAATTTATTCGGACAAATTTAAAGGCGATTTTCTCAATATTTCAATTTTTTGCACCCTCAGATTCCAGATTTTCAAATAGTTGTATCTCATCCAAATATTGTCTTGGCCTAACAAACCATGCACCAATGGAAAGCTTGTTTATTCAGCCTTCAGATGATGTATAAATCTCAATTTCGAAAAACTGACCCTTATTACTGTTTTTATGGTCCAGGGTCACATATGGTGCATTTTGTCTTTTTTAGAGCTTGACAGATCACTGCAAACTTCCATTTAATGGAAAAGAGAATATTTCATTTGTGCTTTACCGAAGAAAGTCAGTCAAATGTACATATGTCTGTGAATCCACATTTACCAAAGTTCACTATACACCATTTATTAAACATCAGATGACGGTCAGTTTGACAAGAGATCATACATTATTAAGAGATCAACACATTGGAAATTCTCAGCATCTTCCAGCTGTGGTTTTACAGTAGGACTGAATTCAACATTTACATGAACAGATTCAGATTTACGTAACTCTCTGGTCCAAAAGGCTTGTCAGTTCTCCAATGATATTTACATCTGTACATGAGAACGCAAACAGCGTATACAGGACAAAATAACTATATGAAACAGGATCACATTCAGTTCAGGAGTTCACTGTCTCAAAGTTTCAGTTGCATAGGTCTTCCATAAAACACAAAGGGTTAAAGACGTGAAGCGGTTCAGGAGGTCTAAACCAGGCTAAGCATCCTGACTAGTGAAGAGAGGAAAACCGGTCTAAAAACGTATAGAAGTAAGCCATGCGCAAATCATCTTTATGCATCGATGTGTGTGTGGTTGCAGTGACCTAGTAAAAAAACAGCCTTTTATCGAACCGTTTTAAACAGTTTAGCTTCCTCGCTGTCAAAATCCACGCGAGAGAGCGTTGCCTTATTAATACACAAGCGCCAATATGAATTTGTCAGCGATTGTACATATTTCATGAGACCTATTTTTCAAACAATGGTGCTCGTAAGGGCTGAAATCAGTATTTCAGAAATGAGATGTTTCATAACTTTGGCTTGTCATGGCGATGTGAATTATTAAGTGTAATGGGAGAATGCTGAAAGAGACACGTGCTGCTAATATGTGTGTGCAGAACAAGATGGGCCCTATTTTGGTGGATTCCCCACCTTATATTCCATATTTAATGAGAAATCAAGTCAAATAGCCACTTACATATTACAGGTTGTGTAAACTGAAACATTTCTGTCATTTACTGGATTTTAAAAACACTGATGGATCATTCAGATCATTTTTTTAAATCATTTCTTTCATTTTTTAATCACTAATCCCTCAATAACTGATTTTAATAGAAGTAAAGAAATGGAGATTGTAAATGCTGTCATTGGGGAGAAAAACAAGATCCCAGGTGAAATTCAGTGTTGTTATAATTAACTAAAATTTCCGGTAATTGAAATAAAATAAAATATAAAAAGAAAAACTTAAGCTAAAAAAACTGAAATAAATATGTTTAAGTTTAGATACTAAAATTACAAAAACTACATCTGAAATATAAATAAATTTAATTAGTTATATGTATATAAATGCACATACATACATACATACATACATATATACGTATGTGTGTGTGTGTGTGTGTTTGTGTATGTGTTTAATCACAAATAAAATTGGAAAAATCTTAAAACAAAATTAATAAAAAAGTAAGCTAAAATCAAATAAAAGCTGAAAACATAAAAAAAATAAAAGATACAATTAATTCATATTTATTTATTTAAATTAAATTAACATTAAATTATATAAATAATACTAAAATTCCAGTGGTACTGTTGATTAAATCAATCAAGCAGATAGTAAGAAAGCCATGTCTGTCATCTTTTTCACATCGTGAGACCATAACAACTGGTGATCTGATCACCATGTTAATCCTGGCTATAAAAGTCTGAGACCACATTGAAAATCTGAGAAGTAAAAGATTTAGATAAAGATGACGTTTGTATTTTACAACGTAAGCACTGTATGTGTGGCTGGACGTCAAATGAACGCGAGTGACTTACATAAGACTCTCTGCTCCTCTAAAACACTGACATACTGGTTTTTGGCAGGTCCATATAAAATTCTCTTTGTCCAGATTGTGCTCATTGGCTCCTTTCAACACTTATTGCTTTTGAAAGCTCACGATGTGACATCACATCCTCCCTCATTACTCCCATTTCCTGTTTAGTGCATTGCTTCCAATTCTTCTGTCTATTCCTCCTCAGCCCGCTGTGTCTCGTTCAGATCAGTTTTTTCATCCTCTTTTCTCGTTTCTGTCTCACTCTCATCTTCTGTCTTGTTCATTTCCTCTTCCAGATGTTCTTCTTTTAAACGCTCACCCTGGTGTTTTTCGTTATCCTCTTTTTCTTTCGCTCGCTCCCTGAAAATATCAAGCAACCTGTCGAACTTGGGTCCCCACTCCTCAAATCTGTGTTTCTGTCCCTCTGTATCTTTTTCGGCCTCGCTTTCGAGCGAGCTGAGAGACGTGGCCTGTGAGCCACCCCCCTCCAATCCGTATGTCTGCAGCGAGTCGTATGGTGGCTGCATGGGGTCAGAGGTCACCAGGGCTAGACGGTGCTGCAGGAAATCGCCCATACGATTTGTCAACGAATCCGCACCTGCCTTTTCAGAGTTTGCTTGGCAAACCTTCCCATTCCCCAAGCCCCACCCTCTTTCATATAGCCCCGCCCCTCCAGGGAGGGGCATCACTATGTGTGGCACATAGTTCTGCCCACCCACCCCGTACAAGCTCATTAGTCCAGCAGCTTCTGGGTAAAGAAGTGTCGTCCCGGTCAAAGGTATCCCTCCACCGCGCCTCAGCAAAGTACCTTCCATCGTTCTGAACGGCATCTCCGTCGTGCCCAGGCTGGTTGAGCTCTGGCTGGTGCTGATGAGCGGAACATCCCCGTTCTTGTCCAAAGCCGAGGCGGGGGTGGAGTCGTCTGTGGTGATGGTGGAAATGGAGGCTCGTGTGGTCAAGCAGTGAGAGGCCTCGGGTTTATGGCTCACAGAAGTGCTGGAGGCCTCTGAGCAGGAACCGCTCTGGCTGGAGCCCTTCACGAACAGAACCTGGTCCGAATGCACAGACTGAGAGAGAAAACACAGAAAACAGTGAAGAACATGATCAGGCCATTTAATAGCTCAATAGTTTGGGGTTGTTTTTGAAAAAATCTCTCATGCTTACCAAGGCTGCATTTATTTGATCAAAAATACAGTAAAAACAGTAATATTGTGAAATATTATTACAATTTCAAGTAACTGTTCTTTTATTTGTATATATTGTAAAATGTAATTTATTCCTGTGATGCAAAGCAGAATTTTTTAGCAGAATTTTTCTCCAGTCTTCAAGTGTCACATGATCCTTCAGAAATCATTAAAGGGGTAGTTCACCCAAAAATGAAAATATGATGTTTATCTGCTTACCCCCAGGGCATCCAAGATGTAGGTGACTTTGTTTCTTCAGTAGAACACAAATGAAGATTTTTAACTCAAACCGTTGCAGTCTGTCAGTCATATAATGGAAGTGAATGGGAATCACGGCTTTGAGAGTCAAAAAAACATACACAAACAAAACCAAATTAAACCCTGCGGCTCGTGACGGTACATTGATGTGTAAAGACAAGAAACAATCAGTCTGTGCAAGAAACTGAACAGTATTTATATCGTTTTTTACCTCTGATTTACTGCAATGTCCGAACTGTCCTGAGCGCATCCTGAGTGCGTTTGCGTCTTCTTCAGTCGGCGCATGACGCGTCTTCTTCTTCTTCTTGCTTTACGGCGGATCACACTGATGCTTTACACATCAACGTATCGTCACGAGCCGCAGGGTTTAATTTGATTTTGTTTGTGTATGTTTTTTTGACTCTCAAAGCCTTGATTCCTATTCACCTCCATTATATGACTGACAGACTGCAACGGTTTGAGTTAAAAATCTTCGTTTGTGTTCTACTGAAGAAACCTACATCTTGGATGCCTTGGGGGTAAGCAGATAAACATCAAATTTTCATTTTTGGGTGAACTATCCCTTTAATGTGCTGATTTGATACTTAAGAAACATTTTTTATTATTATCAATATTGAAATAATTTTAAAAAAATATCAAATTAAATCATTTTTAAATTAGATTTTTTTTTACATTTAGTGACATTTTCACTGTCCATTTTTTTCAGGATTCGCTGATAAATAGAAAATGTAAAAAACAGCATTTATTTGATATTTGAAATAGAAATCTTTTGCAACATTATAAATGTCTTTACTGTCACTTTTGATCAATTTATTGCATCCTCAATAGTCAATGCATTCATCTGGGATCTCAGATTTAAAGACAATACAAATATTTTAACATAACATGAAGATTTAAAAATCAGATGAGAGCAAAGAGAGCACAGATTTTCTTATTAATTTCCTCCACAGGAATTTAAAAATATATATTAAATTAAGGTTTTTTCAATAAAGCCCTAACCCAAATCAACCAACCAAGGGATAGATGAATCACAACATTAAAAAACTACTTATCAAGAAGAAATGTGCATGATGTAAATAAATAAATAAATGTATTGATGTTTAGCAATGTATTATAACTACAAAACAGTATATTTTATGGCTATTGCAAATATTTAGATAATACAAATATAATATACATAGTTTGAGATTATAGGAAACTGACTCACTATTGGCCACCAATGAGCTCATTTGGTACAATATTCATTCACATACTTTAGCAACAGCAGCCTCTGTGATTGGTGGATCTTTGGTGGAAATTAAGTTGAATTCACACTGATTTGTGGCTTTAAAAGAAGCACATCTCAGCGCTAACCAACCTCAGATGTAGTGTTGTCAAAAGTGCCGACCGTGATACTCAGATGTCATAGTAGGTCTGTATAGGTAAGTTTATAAATTATAATTAAAAATCAATTTGTATATGGAGACAATAAATGGGATTTTCACTCCCAGAACCCATCTGTTGCGCTCCATACAATTGTAATGTCATAAATAGTTTGTGGTAGGAAGGATACCTGATCCCGACTGAGTGTGTGGCTCTCAGAGATGAGCTCACTTCCTGTCTCGCTCTCTTTCGGAATGCTGTCGGTGGATCCGTCTGCTCTTTTATGTTCTGATCCATCCCTGCTCTTGCCGATAAATACAGAACCGGATTCTAAAGGGCCGCCTGCCTGGCCTTGGCTGCCGGGAAGAACGTATGCCAGTTTGGCGAGATCCAGCCTGGAGTTGAATGGGCCAAGTCTGTTTCTCGAAGCTGGAAGGGTCTGGATGCTGTAGCAGTACCGTCCGTAGAGGGGTGCAGAGACGGGACGGCGCGGGTCCAAACCCAAACTCTGACTCCAACTGAAGGTTCTGATGCTGTCCAAGTTATCCTGAGAATACCTGTTATAATAAAATAGAAATTAGGAATCTAAAATGGATTAATTAGTTTAATGGTTAAGTATAAAAGCATATTTCAGCCACATAAGAAAATAAATCATGTTTAAGTTAATTATGATTATAACATACGTCAAAAATATGACACAAAATGTCAAATTTATGAGAAAATATTAACTTTTTAACTCATAATTTTTATTTTTTTTATTTATTTATTACAGGGACAATGCATATTAATAAACAGTTCTGTCAATATGCCAGAATTAGCCAGAAGGCTATTTTTCACCTGCAGTCCCTAGATTATGACTTCTAATTTCATAATTCTGATATTTTCCATAGTATGTCAAAATTTCGATTTAGTATCTCATAATTGCTCAAAATTGTGACTTATTGTCTCATATTTGGACTTATTACATTTTGTCTACATTCACTTCTATCTCATAATTATGACTTTACGCTGATTTGGTGCTTAAGAAACATTTATTATTATCAATTAATAAATTGTGCACAATTGTGCTGCTTAATATTTTTTTTGTGGAAACTGGTATCTCATAATTATGACTTTGTATCGCTAATATCTTGATAATTGTGCATCGTTTATCTCGTAATTAGTATCTAATAATGTCAACCTTTTCCTCTATTATTACTTAGGACATCATATTTATCTAAAAATTTTGACTTAGTATCTCATAATTTCATCTTTTTCCTCAATTATTACTTAAGCATGTCATGATTTTAACTTTTACCTCATAATTAGGACTTAATATCTCAATTTCGACTTTTTATCTCATAATTATGTTAGTGTCTCATATGTTTAACATGTCATAACTATAACTTTTTGTCAAAATTTCAACTTTTTAATCTCAAATTATGTCTTAGCATCTTACAATTTAGACTTTATCTTATAATTATGACTTAGTATCTCATAATTTAGATTGTTTTTGTCAATTATGATTTACAATACATTTTTAGTGGCAAGAAATGAGCTTCCAAAGTTACGCCTTTAAGATAGTAATCAATTACATAAACATAACAAAAAACAACTTCTGTTTAATTATGAAGTACATCACCAAATTTGGGAAAACTGTGCAGATCCGAGCATTTCATTGGGCTTTTAAAAGAAAACCACATGCCTTGCAACCTTTGCACCAAAACCAGATAAACCAGATATTTCTAAGTTACCAAAAAAGTTGTTTGATTTAAAGATTTGTTGTACTCCCAGTGGAAACTCCCAATGCAACGATTCAAAAACAGTCAGTTGTGTCTTTAAAAATAGTCGCGTGTGAAGTATTTCACCAACCTGCCCAGGAGTATTACAATGACATCAAACAGGAATATGATGGATAGAGGACTAGAACACAGAGTGGGTTTGAACGGCATAAATATTAACTAGATGAACTTTGCACTGAAACAGCTGTCAGATTTGCATTGTGAAGGCTCATTAAACCACACACACTCCTGAGTACAGAGCCCTCATTAATCAGATATACATTTAACATCATTTAGAGTAACTGAACGTATTCAGAGTAACCAGAGATTCGAGAGGAAGATACACCAGTTTGTGTTTTTGGTGAATGTCAGCTTATATTCAAGCTGAATGATTCACATGGGCTATTAATATAATATGGCATTTTCTAAGCCAAATGTCAAGAAATGACATATGATTTAAAAGATCAGATAGTGCCAGCAATAAACCTGGGAGATTCAAATGATGAAATGAGATGTCTATTTATGTGAACATCAAAGTCACTGTTAACACACAAACACACTCACATATTCTTGCTGTCCTGAAGCCTCTGTGCCCTGCGCATGCTCTGGGGGGCGCTCTTCAGGGTCGCGATATCGAAAGCGGCCGTGTCTGCCTCGCCGCCTCCCTCGTCATCATACGTGATGATGTTCTCCCTGATCTCATCATCCTCCACGGGAGACTGAGTGTCCCGTTTCTGCCTTCGCAACGATAGCGAGAGCGCCGCCACCACTTTCAAACAAAACAGAGCGAGAGAAAATGACAGAAAGTTAATGCCACTTTTCATGAATGGGGTACAAAATGGACAGTTTCTTGTTTTCCAGTTAATAATAAGTGAAAAGAGGTGCCTAACGTTTAAAGACATTGTTAAAAGTCAACCTTTGGACATTACACTGACATTTAATGTGTTTAAAACTATCTATTTCTCTTGCTAGACTGATTTCATATTAGATAGCAGTTCACAGGTTTTCCCTATGACAAATGTGTGCACTTGGAGCATCTCTTTCAATTTTTATACATAAAAAGACTGAAAGGAAATATTGATGTCTTGCAAAACACTGTACCTCAATGGAAATGATCCAAAAACTAGTTTCGTATTAACTTTTTAATTTTTAAAGTATCATTTCTTTAATCAAATTCAAAACAAAAATTAAACTAATCATTATCAAGAGTTTTTTTCAGTATCATTCCTAAAAGCATAATCCTTTAACATTTAACCATAAAAGAAAAACTAGTATAAAAAACTATTTTAAAATAGCTGTAATAACAATGAATGAATGAATGAATGAATTTAAATATTTTTGGAAAAAAGTTTTTAAATGGTGGTTAACATCGCGATATGGCAACACTTGAACACTTTACTGCAATGGAAAATGGTCCAAAAACGAGTTTCTTAAAAATGATTCAAAATTACTCAAACTCCTTTAACTAAATTAATATTTATTCATTTAAACTGAAAAATGTAGTGAATCATTATTAAGTCTTTTCAATGTGTTTCCTAAAATTTTTTCCCCTCACTGTTAATTTAAAATTTTTATCTGAAAAGAAAACAAAATACAAATGACAATTGCATTATTTTTGCAGAAATGCAATTATATCATGGTAAATACTTCCAAAAAAACTATTATAACTAAGGCCAATATCTATAAACTTCCCAGTGAGAAAATACATTAGTGCACTTCCAATTTCAAGCATTTTTTCCATTATGATACAGAGTTGCCATATTTTCATAATTTTCTGTAAAGCCAAGTTAGATAAAGTTAACCAGTTAACAACAACTAATTTCAGATGCAGAAAGGACGTTTGTGGAGCATTTTAGCAGGTGCCCATGAAAGGCTGACTTCAAAATATTTAAAAAGGAAAAAAAAATCTAAGAAAATGTGGCTTTAAAACAGTATACATTTATTTACTTAAAAAAACTACCATTTTATTTGCAGGTGAAACAGTGAGGGAAATTATGTTGCAATATGGCTACACTGTAAGACCCCATTTGTATTTGTAGAAAATGCCTATTCCACCTCTCACTGACTTTTTTAGTAAAGTTTGAGTGTTCAATGTCATTTGGGGAACCTTGAGGGTGGCTTGTTCCGCAATCTCGAAATGCCATACGATGCCCTCAGCACACATCAACTGCTGTTTATGATGAGTGACTTAGTGCAGAAATGAAACCCAAACATGTTCATTAGCAAATCCAACTGACAAACGGAGGAGAAACAATGAGGCAGGTCGGCGGAAAGTTTGAACGACCCAAAAAAAACACACACATATATATATGGAAGAAAAGCTGCAATTTGAAGACAGGCCAGGAGGCAATGGTGGATGAAGACAGGGAGTGATGGACAGATGTAGCAACAACACATCATTAAACCAGCTGGGTATAGAGGCGGAGCGAAGGGCGAGCAGCAATCCCAAAACCTGACGAAACGGACTGAAAAGCAGAACTGACCCAGCAGAGTGGACGCACAGGCCAGGATGGCCAGCATGGCGGCTGAGCTGACGCCCAGCAGCGGGGAGTTTGACGGTGAAGGCAAACACACCGCCTGCCTCTCCCAGTCCGGCACAGACGCTTTATCCTTCTCGTCCATTTGTTGTTTTCGTTCTTCCGCCCACATGCCTCCGTTTTGGCATGGACACACCGTAACGGTAATCGTTCCTGTGCTGCTGAGGTCTGACGCACCGTCACGGAGCATTATGGGTATTTTTAGAGTAGGCAAAGAGGAAGAGCGAGGAAGAGCCTTCAGGGACGACAAGAGCACCAGACTCGCCGTGTGGTCTGGAAACAAAAGAAATTAATAACATAAAAAGGCATCAGTCATGTGACACATTACGAGAAAAAAAATAAAGGGACAAGATTTTTGCAACATTTATTAAGCAAATAAATAACTGTAATTATGTTCTATGGCGAGAGAGAGACCCTTATGTGCTAAGGAAAAGATAGACATATTAAATTAAGTATAATTTTAATATTTTTATCAAATTCATATTCTATTATTCTATATTCTATTCTGTTCTGTTCTATTTTATTCCAAGTGTGAGGAACAGATAATTTCATATAACAAATATATATTAATAATATAATACATATGAAAAAATATATATGTCCTTAGTAATATAATAATTAACAATAAAAAATCAATAATCATAATAAATATAACATTTTTATAAAATCTATACACACACACAATAATAATACATACACACATTTATATAGCTTATATTTATAATATAATAATATTATAATAAATATGTATATGTTCTTCATAATATAATAATCATAAATGTAATATTTAATAAATATAAAATGTTTATAACATATCTATACACACAATAATAATAATAATACACACATATATACAAACATTTATATAGCTTACATTTATAAATTATAATTGAAAAATAAATAATACATTATAAAAATTATAATTAATTTTGTCTATAATATATTATGGCGATATCTTCTTTACGCAAGACTTCCTAATTTCTCTTTTTGTGTTCCACTGCAAAAATAACAGCAAACGGGTTTAGTCAGACATGAATGATGAATACATTTTCATTTTGGGGTGAGCCATTCCTTAAAGCAAATTAGAAATCAGCAGATTGAAGCGGCGGACAGGACAAATGAGCGAAATGAAGGAACGGACTGCCGGAGCACAGAGAAGGGAGTTTGCCGTGTTCACCCAGAGTAGAATGTGACAAAAAAGATAAATGGATGAGCGTAATGAAGGAGGATATATGTCTGGACAGAGACCGGGAGGGAGATGAGGAAAACTGATGGGGAAGAAAAGACGGATGGATGACAGGAGAAGCGAGCGCACCTCCCCGCTCTCTGATGGAGAAGTTGAGCGTGCTGCTGGACTCTGCGGGAATGCTGAAGTGGATAGGAGAGTTGTGGCTGCTTTGGTCTTTATCCGTCGCTCGAATCACCTGCACCACCTGAAACGCAAATGAAGAAAGACTGATACAGTGATTTGTGCAAATAAGACAGTTTTCTGCTGTTGAACGGATAAAGGATTAGCAGTCTAACACGCCACGTCATGTTTGGGCTGACTCACTGTGCACTGCATCAATATCAGTCGCTTATAGAAATCTGCTTTTCTGAAATGCCTTTGGTGAACGAATCTATTTAAAGCGTAGCATGCCGGGTCACTTTTCCCTCAGAAATGCAGAAAGTATTATAATTGATCGGTCAGCTGATAACTATTGTAAAAGAAACCCTGACAGAGTGATCAGAAATAGGTGAAGGGATTTATTGAGCGTAAACGTCCAGCTGACAGCACATAATTCTACTTATTATATGGCTACTTGCCACATAAATATTCAATGGACATGCAATTATGATGGGAAAGTAAATGATTTGAATATGCCACAGCTATTGTAGGAAATCAGTTGCCTGGAGCAGTGATTCATTATGCAATATATTACTTTATTGCAGAATGCTGCTATTGACCAATCAGAAATAAGCATCTCAGATTTGTTTATTCCAGAAGAATTGTTTATTATTGAACACTGGTGTCTTTTATTAAATTGCTTTGCCAATATGACATGCATTAGTAATTTTACTGTGGGCTGTTGTTAAGCACACAAACCAATGTGCAACAAATAATAATTATTATTATTAATAATATTCACAAATACTTAAGAGGTATACTACTGTTTATTTGAATAAATGTATTCTTGTTTTTTATTGTCTATTATTTTCCCATCTTTTATTTTATATTTAATATTTTATTTTATATATTTTATTGAATTGTTATATATATTTTTTTTTTAAATGTTACTTTAATATTTTAATACAGATTGCTGCCATTGACCAATCAGGATCAAGCATCTCAGTCATTTATATTACTTGGAAGAATTGTTTATTCCAATATATTCAACATGTTTTCTGTATGTGTGTGTGTGTGTGTGTGTGTGTGTGTATGTGTGTGCTTATCATATTGCTTTTGTCACCATATTCTAAAGCCAATATGACAAAAGATGACATGCATTATTAATTTTAATGTGGTTAAGAAGTGTTGCTAGACACACAGCCCAAATAAAATGTCCAATAAATTATTATTATTATCATTATTATTATTATTATTATTATTATTATTATTCACAAATAGTTTGTTGTTTAATATAAAAGCAATATGACAAGAGACAACATCCATTCATAATTTTATAACCCAACCCAATGATAAAACACCAATGTGCAAATAAATACATAAATAAATAAATATATAAATACAAATAATAATAACAATAATACAAACAAACAATAAATAAATGTATCTAATGCAAACACTTGTGAGGTACTGCTGTTTATTTTAATAATGTTTTATTTTTGTAATTTATTTTATATTTGTATATATTTTATTTCACTTTATTTTTATATCATATTTTTCAGCTAATCCAAACACAAATTGCACATAAATTCTGCCTGGTTGTCTTCCATTTTTTTTTAACCCAAAGACAAAAACAAATGAGAGGTATACTGCAGTTATTTTAATAAATGTATTTATTTGTTTGTGTCATATTTATTTTTATATATTTTTATATATTTTATTTTATATTTTTTTTATAAACTTTATTTGAATTTTTTTGAGTATCTCATTTTTTCCCACACAAATTGCATAAAATTTATGTCTGGTTGTCTTCCATTGTGGATGCTTCTTGGCCACAATAATCTTTTAAAGCAGACCGCGCTTCATTATTCACAGACCCTTTCCTCTGCAGGCTTTAAAGGGTCAGAGATCACTGACCTGTCCAGCAGCGCTGGAGTCGCACACGGACGTGTTGTATTCTCGGTCCAGCTCGGGGGCATTGTCATTGAGGTCCAGCGTCTCTATGGCAACCGCTGCCCTGGTGACTTGGTTGGGGCTGTCTAAGAAACAGAAAAGAACAGCATGACAGGATATATATATATATATATATATATATAAATAAAAAGCAAAGAAAGTTAGAAATCAAAAGCTTTTAAGCCGCAAGTAGGTCAGCTAAATCTTACTGACCATGAAACAGAAGTTAACTCCAATCTGTCTCCTTACTGTTCTCCATACGCTCTTTACTCTTTTGGGACATAACGTTACATCACGAGCAGAAGTGGCCCGAACGTCATCTGATGTTCATGACATTACATAAAGCCATAACAGAAGCATACTTATCGCACTCAGAGCGTGTGTCTAATATGAAAGTAATTACTGAATATAAGCTGAACAAATCCACTAAAGACTCAGAGTGACTTCTGAGAATGCAAGATAGTGTTTTACGAGGGCCAACGGGAAGCACAAACGGGTGACCTTGAGCTGGGGTGGACCGGACTCAAAAGCAATCCCACTTTTCATTCTACAGTATTATCCCTTTCTCTTCCACTTCTGTTCGCGCGTGTCTCTGCCATGAGCTTTCATGTCCACGGCCGCCACAGAAGTAATAGCCTTCCTGTGGGCCGATTACACGCTGCTACCTGTGTGAAATTGTCAGGCGCTCAGAACTGATGTGATGTGCCTTTAAGAGCGGCGGCGGTGCAGAGGAGTTCTGGTACCTCTCTGTGTGGCGATGACGGTAATGTTATGCCATTGCTCCTGTTCCCGATCCAATTCCACGGTGGTGGTGATGAGGCCATTGTCAGAGGCGATACGGAACAGCGCCTCGGGGTCCGACTCGGGATCAATTGAGTACCTGAGAAGAAATGGACAGGAATAAAAGAAGGAGGGCAGACAGATTAGAAGATATAAAGGATCCAGTGCATCAATAAGCCAGTTAAGCAAGTGAAACGGAACAGGTTAAGTGGAAACAGCCCACATGCTTCCCCTGGCAGACAGAAACATGATGCAGTATGAGGTTTTTTTAACTAATAATGTAAAAACTGTATGTGCTGTGTGGGTAAAACTCACAAAAACCTGTCAAAACCATGTCATTGTGATATTTCACCCCAAAATCAAGGAATCTATGTGATGCAAAGCTGAATTTTCAGCATCATTACTCCAGTCTTCAGTGTCACATGATCCTTCAGAAATCATTCTAATATGCTGATTTGCTGCTTGAAAACAGTTGTGCTGCTTAATATTTTTTTGGACCCCGTGATAATTTTTTGCAGGATTCTTTAAGGAATAAAAAGTTAAAAAGAAAAGCATTTATTCAAAATAGAAATCTTTTGTAACAATGTACGCTACAGTTCGAAGGTTCGGGGTCAGTATTTTTTTTTAAGAAATTAATATTTTTATCCAGCAGGGATGCGTTAGATTGATAAAAGGTGATAATAAAGACTTATATTGTTAGATTAAAATAGAAAACAGTTATTTTAAATTGTATTAATATTTTACCATATTACTGTATTTTTCTGTATTTTCAATCAAATAAATGCAGCCTGGATGAGCATCAGAGAACTGTAAAAAACATTACAGTATATTAAAAACATTACACACACACACAGTCTCAATCTATGGTGGTAATTAAATTTTTTTTGTATAATTATTATCCTAAATAAACTCCTAAATTAAAAAATACAATTTTGTCCTAAATACAATTAAATATTATTTTAACTCCTATTATTACACACAAATTGTGTAATTGACAAAATTACATCTTAACTGGAAATAATGCATGCTAAAATATTCTGTTTTAAAATATATTTTTCTTTGTACATGTTTCATATTTTATCTCAAGCTCTTTACTAATGCCTTGGTAGTCATAATTTATAAAAAAATTAACAAATATAGATGTGGCTCTTTGTTTAGATCTGGTTTTAAAATAATACATTTTTTAATCATTAATTTTCATATTTTTGAAGTTTTAAATTAAAAGTCTGAAACTTGGGTAAATAAAGTATAATAATAAAATGTATTTGAAAACAGCACAAATCAATTATAAGGACATGCTAAAAAGTTTCCAAAATGTAATTTTCTGTTTTAATGTAGCCTTCAAAAGTCCCTGGCATATAAAAGTAGCCACAGCTGAAGAAACACTCACACATAGTAGTATTTGCTTAATATGTGCTGCCTTTAAATTATGCTGAAATTTTTAATTAAAAACATTGCAAAATTACCGTATTAAAGAAATTAGATCTGAGCATCAACATTAAGAATAATGAAAAATAAAAAATAAATAAATAATACATTATGGCAATAAGGATTTGGGGGTGATTCGCTTCATTATCATGAAAAGGTCACAATGCAAAATAATGGGACTCTCCTAAAAACAAAGCAAATAAACAAACTCATTTTCTGTATAGAAAATACTTTTGCATTGATTTTGGAGTGACCAATGTGTTCTTGTGAGATTCACCCATACATGTATGTCTGACTAGATAAAAGCAAGTCATACTGAGTAAACAAGGTGAAAAAATTGTGTTTACTTGATGTTGTTACTGAGGCCTGTATCCGGGTCCACGGCGGCCACTCTTCCCACCACACATGCCGGAGGGCAGTTTTCCGACACATCCAGCCGGTACCGCGAGCGGGAGAACTTCGGCGGCTCGTCTGCGTTCAGAACCGTGATGCGCACCATTGCCCGGTCCTTGAACGGACCTCGTCTGAGGAACCGCGAGTCCACGTTTGGGTTTTGCACCTCCACCGCAAGAGAGTAGGTGCTTCGCCTCTCGTAGTCCACGGCCTGGTGTTCAAGATAAAAAACACTTCCTCATAAAACATTACTTTAGTGAAACTCACATACACCAGCATTCGTTTTACTGTTTTGGCACCAGGAAGGGGCTCTAAAATATCTTTTCATTTCAGTGAGATGCTGAAACTCCCACGTTCACTCATTTTTCATCTCTGCACCTCAGTAGATTACAAAAAAACCTATATAAAGCATCAAAAAAAGCAATGTGTCTGAGTTTCAGCTCTTCGTAACTTAAACGACTGCAGGGATTGCTCTGCTGGTATTAAGATGGAAGGAAGTCATGGATGTGGTTATATTAACATCAATAACCGCTTCAGAACTGTATTAGGGGTTGTGGATGCACTTCTGATGCTAGACACGATGACATTGAAGAACCGTAGGTGTCCACAATCAAAGTATCAGAAGATGCAAGTGATGTAAAATAACAGGACCGATATTATGAGCCTGTCAAGAAAGTAAATGAGGTCAATTTTTTCATGTCATGTTGACTTTAAGGGAGGCGTCAATAGGGTTGGGAATCGAAAATTGATTCCGATTCTAGAATCGGATACTTAAGGTCAGGAATCGGATACTTGTCAAATAAAAATTTCAATTCCGCCTATCGATTCCTATGTGCTTTTTTTCCCTTCATCTGTGAGGACCGGACCTAGCGATCTGCCAGGACCTTGCTCGCTAATCTAAGCGCTCCAAAGTTTGGCTACATTAGCGATCAGAAGCCAAAAAAGCTAAGTATGATATCTGTGATAGCTAAACATGTTGCAAGAGAGGTGTCACCACCAACATAACAAAGATCGTTTTAATAGATCGTTAAAGATTAAAGTAAATCACCTTTTGAAAGTAATTTGACATGTCAAATGAAGATTTATCGATTACATTGTTACGTCAGTAGGTGGCGAAAAGGGGCTGGTAAAATGTATTTGTCTTTGAATCATACAAGAGATTCGTTCAAGAACACTGAATCATCCAGTAATGAAACAAGTATATCTTGAGTGAGTCATTTAATCATTAATTCATAAATTACATGTGATTTTGTTTAGTTGTCTAATGTTTTTCTTCAGAATCATGAGAGAACTACAACTTCCCTTGGTAAAAAAATAAAAAAAAAAATAAAAAATGTATCCAGAATCATGCAGTTCTATTTTGCACACAAACAGCTCTTAAAGAGTCCAGTTTTTATGTAGCCTGTTGATTTTTGTTCATGGTATTCAACTCCAATAAATGGTTTGCAAATAAGAGACACAGGATAAATGCTTGATATCATTACTTAATCACATTGGAATTGAAACTGGGAATCGATAAAAAAATGGGAATCGATAAGCAGAATCGGAATTGATCTAATTCAAACGATACCCAACCCAACTGTATTTGCATAACATACAGGGCCTTTAAAGGGGCCGTAGCGAATGCTTCTGGCTACTGAAGCTCAATTTCATGCGTTGCTGCATTCCAAAATGTGAGCTTGAAATGCATTGGCCAAGAATTCACATCTGCATTTGCATGTGTGTGTAGTTTTTGGCCAAAGGGTCAAAGAAAAAGTGGAAAACAGTGCTGCAAAACTAAATAACAATAAAAATGTATTAGATAGATAGACAAAGACTGAGAGACTGAGAGACAGAGAGACAGAGAGACAGACAGGCAGATAGACATATAGATAGATAGATAGATAGACAGACAGACAGACAGACAGACAGACAGACAGACAGACAGACATGCACTGCTAGGTGGTTGTCCTGCATCTTCAATAAACAAGCTACAGATAGTCCAAAATGCAGCGGCTAGAGTCCTTACCAGGTCAAGAAAAGATAGATAGATAGATAGATAGATAGATAGATAGATAGATAGATAGATAGATAGATAGATAGATAGATAGATATTAGACAGACAGACAGACGGACAGACGGACAGACGGATAGACAGATAGACAGATAGATAGATAGATAGATAGATAGATAGATAGATAGATAGATAGATAGATAGATAGATAGATAGATAGATAGATAGATAGATAGATAGAACACATAAACCATTATGAATTTACAGACAAAACAACTATCATAGGTACTGTTATTGTAAAATACAATTCATCATATCATGACATAGGATTTGGGTCATAGCTCTGAGCCATAACTAAAAGTATAAGTGGACTTGAGGAGAAAAATAAAATGCTGCAAAATATATAATCAAGTACTGTAAGGCCTGTAGAAGTGGTGTGCAGTGGAGCAGTGGGCATAAGCAGCGCTGAGAGCCACTAACACACATGAAAAGCTCTGTCACTTGAACTACAGCCATGTGTTAATCAACATTTCCATGCATTTCCTCTCCCTTGTTACTCAGCGGCATTAGTCTCCCCGCGCTCTTCCTCTGTCTAATTTGCTTTTCGTATTCAATCTTTTCCCTTCTCCCCCCGTGTCTCTGACTCATCTCGTTCCTCGCAACCTTCTCTTTCCTGTTTTCTTTTTATACGCGTCTCTCCTTGTTATGTTTATTCTGGCTGTGTCTTTAACTAGCACACACACACACACACACACACACACAGAGACACACACACACGCACACACCTGTCATTGAAGTATTGAGCTCAGCGGCTGGGTAAAGATCTCTTACTCACACACAGACACATGCATATCTGTCTTTATAAGCACTTGTCAGGGCAGAAAATAGCTTGCGATTCATTTTACAGTTTGCTTATTTTGATTAGTCTAAAAGGTGGAATCTTTTCTCTTTTCAATTAGTTACGTGTGACTTACCATCACACAAAGTCCTTTTATATGAAATGCACATTTTCAGTCCCTGCGAAGTTTGTATTTAAATAACAGCTGCCTGTGTGCGCTGTGATGAGGTCTCTCCGGGGGCCGCAGGTTAAATTCTCTTTCCGTCGGCGCTAATATGCATGTTCACTGGCAGACATTTGCGCTGCAGATTATCCTCATTTACATTTGAACTCAGAGTCAATTTAACTCATTTGCGATTCATTCTGCTGGAACTTCTTTCTTTGTTATTGCTTTGCTTTTTACTTTGCCCTTTCACTATTCTGAATAAATACAACGTAAATACAACTTAAGCGTTTCACTTTCTGAAGGATGCTTGCCAGTGTATTACCACAATACTTAGGCACTGTTGGTGGTTCCCAGGCTGTTGCTCTGTAGCGTCATAAGCATTTAGAGTGTTTTTGGTATGTTGTTATGGGGTTACTAGGGTAGTTATTTTTAGTGCACTGGCTTGTGGTTGCCAGGGTGCTGCTATGTGGTTGCTAGAGTATTCTGAGTTTTGCTAGGGCATTACTAGGTGGTTGCTGAGTGATTTTAATGTGTTGCTATGCAGTTGCTTGAGTGCTCTGGGTAGTTATCAGGGTGTTGCTAGGGTTTTGCATAGATGCTCACTAGCCACACTCAAAAGAGCCCAGCCCTCAATCTACTGCTTTTCTAACACTGCATATTTGCCACATTCAGCCTTTGGGTTGCCAGGGTGTTCCTATGCAGTTGTTAAGGTGCTCAGACTGTTTTAGCCCATTGCTATGTGGTTGCCAGGGTGTTGCAAAAGTGTTCTGAATGTTTGCTGGGGTGTTTTAAGTCATTTTAGTGCATTTTTAGTGCACATTGTGGTTGCCAGGGAGTTGCTATGTGGCTGCTAGAGTGATCTGAGTGTTTACTAGGGCATTTTTAGGTGGTTGCTAGGGTGTTTTCCATTTGTGGCTATGCTGTTGCTAGAGTGTAAGGATGTTATTAGGTTTTTGCAAGGGTGTTCTAAGTGTTTTTGGGTGGTTGCCAGGGTGTTGCTATGCAGTTGTTTTTTGAATGTTTTTAACACATTGACATGTGGCTGTCAGGGTGTTGATATGTGGTTGCAGAGTATTTGCTAGGATATTTGTAGTGCATTATGTGGTTGCCAAGGTGTTGCTATGTGATTGCTAGGGTGTTTTGGATGGCTACCATCATCGCTATGCTGTTATTAAGGGGTTACAAATTTTAGCATGTTGCTATGCGGTTGCTAGGGTGTTCTGAGTGTTTAATGTGTTGCTATGTGGTTACTATGGTTACTATTTAAAAACAACAAAAATTAAAAAAGCACAAAATGACCAAAACAAAATCACTAAAAAATACATGAAAAATGAAATCTAAGAAAAATTCAAAATAAAATAAAAATACTTTATAAAAAATACTATAATAGAATGTATATTCTATTATAGTGTTTTTACTATAAAACTAAAATAACACCAGCTGTTATGCAGTTGCTAGTTGTTCACTAGCCACATTCAAAATGAACCATCCTCCAATCTATAGCTTTTCTAATGCTGCATATTTGCTACATTCATCCTTTGAGACTAATACTGTCATTTTGCAAGTAATGAAATAGAATTTATTCGTTTAGACGGTCAATGTAATCCATATGTGGTGCAGCTACATTGGTTGCCATAGTAATGAAAGCATCAATACGATGTCTAACAACATAAGAGAATGTCTGTATAGGCAAAGAGAACAGAAAATGGGAAAGTTTACTATTATCTTTGCTTATATGCATATTCATATAGTACATGCTGTGTCTGAACCCGCTCACTCATTCACTACTTGTGCGTTTTTTACTGTTAAGACAAACAACTGAACAGTTTTGAGTCAGATACAGCATAAAATTGGATTTGCTTCTCATTTGGGAATATATGAAAGAAAACAACATTACTGTAGGTATTTCCATTTCTCCACTCCCACCTTGTTTAACAAAATCACAGCCTCCTGGTTCAATCCAGTTATGTTGAAGGTGTCCCCTGCCTCTCCGTCCACGATTATAAAATCCATCCGAGCGTTTTCACCCAGGTCTGCATCTGTTGCCGACAGACGACCAATCTCTACCCCGGGGATGGCCAGTTCAGAGACAGAAAAGGACCACATACCTGCAGGAAACAGAGATGGTGTAGAAAATAATCAGGCAAAAACACTCAAATTAGAACATCTTCATTAATCTCATTATATGTGAAAGGCATTCATACAAACCCCCTATAGCCATTTCAAATCAATCTGACCTCCATCCTAAACTAGATTTTTATAAAAACAAAAAACACTGCAAAGGAAGCCATGCCTTGCCTTTTGTTCTCACAGACAGTTTTTCTGCAGTTATAAGACAGTTTAACAACCGGCTCGTCTGTCTTCGTGTGCGGCAGCTATCGCGGGCAAAAAATTAAACTCTAAAAAAGAGAAAACCTGCCTGAGTCTGTTTAAACCTAATTAGAGACCGCAAATAACGCAGGCAATCTACTGCATTCCATAAGAGAATGAAAAGTGTTTCTCATCTCACACGAGAGACACGCATCAGATCTTATACCATGATCAATCACCATAACAAAAACAAATGTGTTGCCAAAGAGTTCTGAGTGGTTCTCAGTTCACTTTTATGTGGTTTCTAGGGTGATTTGGGTGGTTGCTTACTGGATCAAGTCAAAAGAGTGATATTCTGGACCATAATAATTCATGTTTGTACCACAAACGGATCAGTTACTAAGTTTACTCTGTTTTTTTATTTTATATTAATGAATTTTATTGGATCAATCCCTAATTTTAAATATGAGTAACAGTAAGTGTGATAAAAGCTTGGATGGATGGATGGACAGACGAATAGTTAGACAGACAGACAGACAGACAGACAGACAGATAGATAGATAGATAGATAGATAGATAGATAGATAGATAGATAGATAGATAGATAGATAGATAGATAGATAGATAGATAGATAGATAGATAGATAGATAGATAGATAGAGAGAAAGAGAGGGAGAGTGAGAGAGTGAGATAGACAGATAGATAGATAGATAGATAGATAGATAGATAGATAGATAGATAGATAGATAGATAGATAGATAGATAGATAGATAGATAGATAGATAGATAGATAGATAGATAGAATAAAGTGATTCAGAATAAAACTAATTGCAGAATTTCCTAAGTTTTAGAAAAAGAATGTTTGAGGAGCATCATTACAGTATTTGCTGCAGAAACACGAATTATTAATTCCACAAATTCCAAACATGCTTTTGGAAAGAGGATATCAGAGACGCAGAAAAAAGAGAGTGTAATACTGTTTAGCCCATTGCTATGTGGTTGCCAGGGTGTTGCTTTGTGCTTGCAAAAGTGTTCTGAATGTTTGCTAGGGTGTTTTAAGTCATTTTAGTGCACATTGTGGTTGCCAGGGTGTTGCTATGTGGCTACTAGAGTGATCTGAGTGTTTACTAGGGCATTTTTAGGTGGTTGCTAGGGTGTTTTTAAGTGTTTTCCATTTTTTGGCTATGCTGTTGCTAGAGTGTAAGGATGTTATTAGGTTTTTGCAAGGGTGTTCTAAGTGTTTTTTGGTGGTTGCCAGGGTGTTGCTATGCAGTTGGTTTTTGAATGTTTTTAACACATTGACATGTGGCTGTCAGGGTGTTGATATGTGGTTGCAGAGTATTTGCTAGGATATTTGTAGTGCATTATGTGGTTTCCAATGTGTTGCTATGTGATTGCTAGGGTGTTTTGGATGGCTACCATCATCGCTATGCTGTTATTAAGGGGTTACAAATTTTAGCATGTTGCTATGCGGTTGCTAGGGTGTTCTGAGTGTTTAATGTGTTGCTATGTGGTTACTATGGTTACTATTTAAAAACAACAAAAATGAAAAAGCACACAAAATGACCAAAACAAAATCAGAAAAAAATACATAAAATGAAAAATGAAATCTAAGAAAAATTAAAAATAAAATAAAAATACAATATAAAAAATAGACAGACACATTGACAGACAGACAGACAGACAGACAGACAGACCGACAGACCGACAGACAGACAGACAGACAGACAGACAGACAGACAGACAGACAGATAGATAGATAGATAGATAGATAGATAGATAGATAGATAGATAGATAGATAGATAGATAGATAGATAGATAGATAGATAGATAGA